ATAATAAACCTAAGATATTTTACGGTCTTAACCCTAAACTTATACTTATTTAAGTCTAAGTAGAGGCTATATTCTTAGAGTTACTCTAAGACTTATTATACCTTTATATAATACTCTTTAAGTAACCTATTTATATAGATTAATATATTATCTATATAGGTAAAGTAGAAGTTATTAAAGAACTCTTATAGGATACTATTAATATAGCGTTAAAAGGTAATAAGTATATTACTTAAACCGAATAGCGTAACTATTTATTTAAAGAGCCTATATTTAATATAGAATACTATTTTCTACTTCTCTTTAAGTATAATCTATACTTTATAGAACGCCTATACTATATCTAGCTTAATAAACTAGCGAGCCTTTATTAAGTTATAGAAGGTATTATTAATAAGTAGGATTAAATAGTAATTTACTTTTATAATTATATTAAGGGCTCTATAATTATAGTAAAAATAGAGCCTACCTCTTAGTTTCTATATAAATAGGACTAGCGTTATTACTTTTAAGTTACTTACTTAAATAAACCCTTTATTTAAGAGGTTATTAAGCGTCTTCTATAATACTAAGAGCTCTTCTTACGATATTCTATATAATACTCTATAAAGTATAGGCGGGTCTTATCTATTAAGCCCTTTCTTAAAGGGGATTTAATAATCGATATTAGGCTTATATAAGTTAAGCTTATTTACTTCTTACTTTATAAAGAGCGGAAGTAAGTTATAGAAATATAAAGGGATTATATATAAAGGCTCTTACTTAAACTTAAGTCGCTTTAAAGATAAGGCTCTTTTAATATCTTTTAAGCTAATAATAAAGATTGTAGCCCTAGCTATATTATAGCCCTCCCTTTTATAGATCCTCTTTATATAGCCTATAAAAGTCGTAGTAATAATATATTATATACTCTTAATATCCTTTATAAAGCTATTTCCTAAATATAGGCTATATATATATTATACCTATATCTATAAGGGGCTATATTAAAGCTTCCCTTTATATAAGACTAAGTATAACTTTATATATTAAAGCTAAGGTTTCCTTAAGATTAAGGGGAACTTAAGCTTAGGTATTATATAAATATATATTAATTAAGGGGTTTTATTAATCTTTATAGTTAACTATATTAAACTATTAATTACCGCTCTTATTATAACGCTAGAGACCCCCTTTACTTTATAGAGGTAGATCCTTTTTAGCGGTAATTTAAGGTCTTAAGTAACCTCTTTATTTATTACTATATAATAATAATACCCCTTATCTATAAGTATAGTCTATAAAAGACCTTTATTAATCGAGATTAAGACTAATAATAGGTCTATCTTGAGGTACTCTTATAGCCTCTCTTTCTATATTAATGCCTCTTATAGCCTTAAAGTATAACTTTACTTTAAGGTAACGTATTTCCTTAAGCGGACTTTATACTCTTAGTTCCGCTCTTTATATTATAGTTGTCTTTAAGTTCTAATTTAAACTTTATATAGTTTACCGAGATTACTTTATTCTTCTTTAGCTAGCGAGTAAAGGTATAAGGATATTCGCGAATTAAATATCTATTCCTCTTATAGCGTAAGTAGCGCCTTTATTTATATTACTTATTCCTCTCTTTATTAAATATTTACTTAGCTTATTTATTTATATTTAAAGGGGTACTTCTTTAGGTCCCTATCTTTTTAGGCTTAGGGCCGTAACTTATAGTATAAATAGAGGTTATAAAGGTATCTTTTTTATAGTCTATAGTAAGTATTACTTATAGAGCCCTTCTTTTGCCTTTAAGCCTTACCTTTTCTACCTTATAGAAAATAGCTTATTAATTAGCTAGGCGCTAATATTATTTCTTTTTAAGTTCCCTAAATTAATTAATTACTTTAAAGTTAACTATAATAATATATAATTACTAAATAAAGCTATAGAAGTTACGTTTTAGCGTAACTATAATAAGCTACTCCTTAAATATAAAGGAAAAGGAGTTTTATAGTTAGGTATACTTTATAGTATTATCTTAAGAAGAGCTACTTATAGTTACGAAAGTACTCTTAAAGTCTAAAATAAAGTCCTTAAACCTCTACCTATCCTTCTATATAAAGATCTATAGCCTATCTTATACTTTCTCTTTCTTTTATACGTTCCTAAAGATCCGTTTAAGGTATAAAAAGAAGTCCTTAAGGTCTCTTTTATTATTAATCCCCCTTTCTCTCTAGAATACCTCTACGCTCTATATCTTAGATTCTAAGAGGGTATATAAGACCTTAAACTAGACTATAGTATCTAGCTTATTTAAGTCTTCTACTCTATTAATTATATACTTAAACTATAGCTACTTTAGGTATAAGTAAAAAGAGTCTACTTAACTATCTTATTTTAGCTATATAAGTAGCTTCCTCTTCTTTAGTTCTACTTTACTTATTATAGTTAGTATAGCGGCTAGAATTAAGGTTATAGTCCCCTTAATTATAGCTATAGCTAGACCCTTTAAGGTCTTTAATAAGGCCTCTTTTATATAATTATTAAGTATAATCGTATTAAGTATATTAAAGAGGTATATTTACTCTATACTTAAAGTAGTAGGTTATTACCTTATTATTACTTATTACCTTATTATTACTTATTAAGCTATTTCCGCTTATTAGGCTATAAGCGCTAGCTAGGGGGCTAGTCTGCTTAATATAATCTTATTTATTATTCCTTTATATTATTCTATCGGTTAATAATATATATTATAATAGGGCTAACTTTAATAAGTAAGAGCTAGTTAGCTTATTAATATTAAATATACTATAAGGAGGTAAAATAGGGTTATATAGGCCGGCTGCCTTTATACTTATAGCGCCCCTTTTCCTTACGTAATGCCCCTTCTTACCTTATGGCATTATATAACTTAATAAGTAGCCTAGGCTATGCCCGGGCTCGGACCCTAAGGGCTAACCCTTAATAAACTTAATAGTTAAGTACCGCTCTATTAAGTATTATTACTTAAGCTTTTATTATTAAGTATATAAGCTTAAGTACGAGGAGGCTTTAAAGTAATTAAGTATTAACTTTACTATAGAATAATAAGGTCTATTTAGCGATATTATATATAAGCTAAGTAAAGGCGGAAGCGATAATATATAAGATAGCGGGTTTTTTAGCGGTAATAATATGTAGTCTAAGTCTGACTTTAACTCTAACTCTAACCCTAACTTTAATAATATAAATAATAACGCTATTAATAATGTTAATGATAATAAAGAGGTAGAAGCTAATAGGAATAATAACGATATATAATTCGATTCTATAAAGAAAGTACTTAATAGCGCTATATATAGGTTTTTAATTAGCTCTATTCGATAGAATATCGGTAATAAGGTATATATAAACTCGCTACTTTACTTTTATACTATACTTAGTATTTAAAAGGCATTACTAAGCTTTATATAGCTATAGCTATATATAAGGCTACTTATAGGCATTATATAATAGGCGCGGCTTATCTTTTTTAAGTCTATATTTAAGTATTAATTATATAACTTAAATAAGGTTAGCGTTAATATTATACTTATATTCTAAGAGGAGTACGCTAAGTAAATATATATTAATATATATATAATTATAAGTATTATTATTAACTAGATAATATATAATAAGGGCTATTATTAATATATAGGTAGGTAGCTATTAGTTTAGTAAACTAAGGATAAAAGCGCGTTATTTTATAGCGGAAATTAAGTTAGCGTTAAGGACTTTAAGAAGATAATATATAACTTAGTTAGGGAAGTAAAGGGCTTTATAGATAAGATAATAAACTACTTATAGGTTAAGGTTAGCGATAGGCTTGATATAAACTATATCTCTAACTATATAGTACGTCTTGGCGCTAAGTAGTTATTTACGATAGATCTAAAGAACGAGTAGCTTAAACCTAGCTTAAGTAAGGTTATATAGTTAGCTAGGCCGACGCTCTAGAATGCCGCCTATAACCGATAGAAGCTACCGTAAGTAAAGAAGTAGCTTCGCTTATTACGATAGTTCTAAGAGGTAGCTATAATGCTTATATATATCTAGGGCGGCTAGCTAGGTCGCGGGCCGGAAGTAACGATACTATAGCATTACGACTCGTAGTAGCTTATATGGAATATATTCGTGCTCGACGGGCAGGTAATACTAATTACGGACCGCGATAAGGTTAAGGCGATACGGGATAACGGACGTAGTATCCTAGCAGGCGGTATCGCTACTAGCGCCGAGGGCATTAAGACTGCCGAGGAGGAGGCTATATTCGGTGGCAAGAAGGGCGATTAGTACGACCCTAACTACTATTAGATTAGCGACGACTTAACTAACCTGAACTATACCGCGTGGGAGGTTAATACCCGCTTGATTATCTACTCTATCGGTACCTTTACTACGTCCTTTAAGGGCTTCCTAGAGAGGACTATTAAGATTCGTGCTATTAAGGCGAAGCCGATAAGTACCGTAGCTATAAGCTAATTATATAAGCCGTTATTTTCTAAGTTGGATATACGGAGCGATGGAGTATGTGTTCGGAACGATGCGCTTTAGATTTTGCAATATTACTGCAACAATGCATTCGTAGATGCCTTTTATGTGCTGCTAGATTGCCTTGGCCACCTAAAGGATGCCGTTCAGTAACTGCCCGAGAAACATTTCGTCCTCGTATGCTTCGTTAAAGTGCCCGAGCGCAGTGTGAAAGACGCGCCCTCCTTTAAACTCATGACACTATACGAGAGGATGGTGGTCGCCTAGCGTGCCGCTATCGTAGGACGTCTCGTCGACCGATAGCAGCACGTGCACGCATGACGTCCGGGGGTTCTCCGTGAAGTTATACCACTCGTCAAACCACGTTCGCTGCCGTGTCTGCCTGTTGAGGGTCTTGAGTCCGTCGCCGAGACCCCGCAGGCCGAGCGTCATGATCGGATGCCGCGCGTCCTCGACTCGCACGACTCCCTCTGCGGCTCCGGGTGTCCCGCAAATGACGCGCCGACCATGCGCCGGTACTAGCGCCCCTCGTCCACCGCGCCGTCTGCGTCTGTCGGCGGCGGCGGCGGCGGCGGCGGCGGTGGCATTCCCACCGAGGCGGTGTGCACGCCGACTACGCCGCCCCCTTCGCGGACAAACGACTGCAAGGCCGCCAGCTGCGACGCAGTCAGGAACGTGCCGGACACGTGCGCGAGGACAGTGACGCGGTAGCGGCGCAGAGACTCGGGCGCGAAGAGGCTCGTATCTTCGGAGTGGTGCACGGTAAAGGGTGCGTCGGTGGGGGCGGACGCGGAGGCGAGGCGAATGAGCGCGGCGATTGCGGCGGGGATCGAAGCGTATCGATACCCGGCTGTCTTGCTGAGACGAGGACGCGGAAAGGGGATCCTGTCATCGCGCCGCCGTGTTAATGACGACACGAGATGCACGGTTGAAGACCTTGGATTGAGATGAATGCTTGTAGGAGCAAGCCTCAGGAGGACGGCGCCATCGGTCCCACGGGGACGGCACGGGCGTGAGGGCCGATCCGGTCCCGGACGCCGGACCGATGCGGGGCCGGCTTGGGTTGCCGCTCTTGGAAAGTAGTCCTGACCATCCTCGTCAGGACTTTGGTTTGTGGTACCATAAAAGCGCTGTTGGGGCATGGCGCGCAGCCTTTCGCTAGCGAAGTGTAGCCGCACCGCACGGAAAGCAGGCGCAGATTGTCAGATCCTCAACGTGGTCCCCCCCCTTCGGCGTGACGCATGGCGTTCCTCACCCTCTGTGGTGGCCAGGGGAGTCTGCTTCTCGTGTTGCACGCCGTGTGGGTGATATAAGGGTGTCGATGATGATGATGATGATGATGATGATAATTATTTAACGTCCGGGAGCTATAATAATAGCTGAAAGCCCCTATCGGGGCAAAGGACGTGCTGGGCTAGCTAAGGTACAGGAACATCCGGCCTCTCTATCTAGCATCTCAACAGCACTAAGGCGCTGTATCGGCGAAGGGGCATTCCCGTTAGCGGGAAAGAACCCCGCCCAGCCCAGAATTCTCTTGCATAGGTGGACATAATCCAGGTCCAGGCCCCAAAGCCGAGAAGCCGTGTCTTCACCTATCGCCAGTAGCTACGATGGCAGCTGCGTAGCCGTGGGGAAAATCCCTCAAGGGGCCAAAAACCCACTACAGCTAGGACGCTATTGTCTGAACGGAGGCTCATTCCGATCCAGGGCCATCGATAAGCGCTCTGCATCATGTAGCCAGCGATTTTATCTGTTATTATAGTATTTGCAAAGCCCGGCGATAGCACGGGCGGCAACCGAAGTTGCTGAGGAAGAAAAGTTATCTCTGGGCAACAGGTGTTGCAGAGGTCGGTCGAGGCATCGGGATGACGCGCAGAGTGTTCGGGGGCGTTTTAGCCCCCAAAAAAAAGTCGTAGGCTGTGGAAGCCAGAGTCGGGGGGCGTATCGAGGCCCAAATGTCGCGGTGAGAAGCCGGCCAGTCAGGCTGGAAGCACCAGTGTTATCTGGGCAGCAGGTGCTACAGATATTGTCGGAGCGGAGGCGAGCCGCGAAGGAAGCTAAGATCGCATAGTCCCAAGTGGTCGAAGGGCAGTCTTGCCCGGGAGGTCGCGAGCGGCGGTCAGCCAGACGAGCAGACAATGCTACGTCCGAGCGGCCGAGGCTATGGCGAAAGGCGCGAGCATAATGGCTCTGGTTGTAACGACAAGCACCGCGAGCGAAGGTAAACTCTCCAAATCCCTTCGTCGAGGCAGCTATTAGGGCCACGATCGGCGCCCAGCTACAGGTGCTATCAATTGGCCTATGAAAAACCCATGGCTTAGCGAGACGCTAACAGCGCCAAGCAAGCAGAGATTTTTACAGGGGAGAGTTAGTTGATCAAGGGTGTCGGGCGCGACCATCTCAGCGCCCAGGTTAGCAGGGCGGTGCCGGGTCTCGGCCTTGATTGAGTCGGCGCTCCTCCTGCATAGCCACACAAACATCGTATAATCGTCAGAAAACCAGCTGCCCCGACAGCGAATCATTATTTCTTTGTTTTTCATCTTTTAATCCGCGTAGCGTCTTGTCGCCATCATGGATCAGTGCGGCCAAAAAAGAATGAAGTGGCTCGTGGACATGCCGGCCGAGCTCAGGCTCCAAGTCTACGCACACTTCTGCGAGTCGACACCCATCATGATCCACAACGTCGACGATCCCGACATCAGAAACTGCGACTTTCTCCGCAAGTCGAAATGCCAAAGAAGAGCAAGTGCGGTCTCTCTATTGCTCGCTTGCAAAGCCGTCAAAGCCGAATTTGAGCCCATCTTCTTTTCCCACACAAGCTTCGTCGCACACTACGAATCGTCAATGTGCTGTTTCTATATTACTATATCTGATGGTAGCGCCATGCCCGTCTTGCGGCTCTTTAAACCGATCGAGAGGCGCGAGCTTCATAGCTACTTTGCGCGGGAGAACGTCCAGATGCACCTGAAGAAGCGACTTTCAACAACGCCATCGTCATCATTCATGAGGCATGGGTCTGAGCGCTTCACCATCAGCGGCCCACTGGGGTGCTCACGCGATGCACGCGAACGCCAACATGAGCTCAAGTCACTTGTCACGTTGATGAGCTTCTGCCGCGGCAGAGTCAACCAGTTGGAGTTTTGGTATCATCCCGTCCGATGGCTGCCGGCCGAGGCGGCCCTGCCGTGGCGCATCACCATGGACCGCGAGGGTAATTTTACCATCCGCGGACCGAGGGAGGAAGGGTTCTTCGCCATGAAAGAAAAGCTTGTAAAAGCGCTTCGTATGTTCTTGCCGAGTCATGAGATTCTGCACTGGTGGTCTTGCACCGCGCGGGAACGGAGTAAGCTGAAAAAGGCCGGGGCCGGTTTTCGCGAGCCGCAGTTCACGTTCATCAACGACGCAACAGACAGCCAGTCGGACCACGTTTCCGCCTGTATGGCGGAGAGTTGGAAGGCCTACGAGGCCAGGTGTAATTGCGGAGAGTGGAAGCGGTTCGGGGGGATCCGCGATGTTGAGTGAGAAAGTCGCAACCATCGGAACATCATGGATGCGGAGTACGCTTGGGCATGAAGGTTGGGCTGTGTGTACCGAATGTGGGTCCCAGGAGAATAGAAAGAGGGGGATGTTAACGTTGATCTGGTACCGGGACGTGCTGTGGAATGGACCTATTCGAACCGCTGCTAAGCCTACCTGATGATACTTGACGTCCAATGTAATGTTTATAAATAGCGCCACATCCATCACTGCCTCGGTGCTGTGATTTGTCGATCTTTCTGAGTCTATCCCCTCTTTTAGAGGCTCTGATCCTCCTTCAATTATCATGCGTCCCGTCACCCGCGGATCCGTCGGGAGAAGAGGGCTGGGGAACCTCTCACGATCTTCAAGGTGAAGGCATGGGGCGTTTCACCACCTTTTACATCGTTCAGCATCCTGCAGGACGATCATTCACCAACCACATTCGCCGTTAGAGGACCTAATTCCCCACGGTCCCATCAATATCAAGACGCACGTAGTCTTAAAATCACCAGAATGACGTCGTTGGCGCGGAAAGGGGAGTGGCTGATGTGAATATCAGTCTCCCCAGATACCCGTGATTGGCAGCCACCTGCGGCCATTGAGGGCCCAATGGCACCCTGCTACGCCGCCGATGATCCGAATGTTTCACAACAACGAGGCGGTGTCGACCTCTCTGCGCACGCAGCGGAGCAAGGCCGTCCAATAGCTCGTGGCGAAGATATACTACCGTGACAGAAAGGTCCCTAGAATTGCGTCCTGGAACGAGCCCCGTTCCCTTCGTGTACTGAGAGTGTCACCAGCATGATGATGTTATGTGATATCGTACCCTCGACAAGTCACAGCCATGCCAGCAACTCCCCAGACCGCGGGCGTCCCCGGAACTAGGTATCGAAACAGGACGGAGCGCGGCGAGATGTCCTCGCGAAACGTGCCCGACGACATCTGCAGAGGACCGTGGCACATCGCGACATGCGGTTCCAAGTTTACGAGATAACAGCTAGCTCAGCGACGGAAAATTGGTCAATACTGGCATGTCCAAAGGACGTAGCAAACCAGCAAGCGGTATAAACGACAATCCCATTACGCTCTCATAGTACTTCTGGCGTTTGCCTCTACTGCCGTGTACAACGCTTATCCTACCGCTCGGACCTCTACAGTATCCGAGTAATGCGGGCTTTGCATCAGTAACGGCAAGGACGAGGGTGTCGATAACTCGATATGTCTCTTGAAGACTTCGTTTGCCGGACTAGGAGGACGAAGAGCCGGAGGATTGTCTACTCCAGCTCCCCGGGGCTGCCTTCTTGCGGGAACCCCAACCTGGCGGGCTCGTCACTTGCCCACAACACAATGAGAGTGTATCGCGCGAAGAAAGATCGAATGAGACAAGAAACTGGGACCCCTTGCTAGTTACAAGCGTCAGGAACCGAACGCCAAGAAACAGATTGGCCCGAACGTGGCAGCCGAATGGGACAAGGTTGCCAACTTACCTTTCGACGCACACGAAATGAGTGTGGTCAGCGGAGAGCCTTGCGACTGTCCTGCGGCAGGCCCTACAACAGGCGCTATGACCGGCTCCGTGAGCGTTCGGCTCGGGGGATTATCACACGCCCGTCAACCGAATCGAGCCGCATGTGCATTTTGGAGCAAGGTCAATCAATAACCCAGAATAGTCGCCAAGCCGGTGTGCCGAGCCGATGCACCGACGTCCGCATTGCCTCGACGAACGCGAGTGGGGATCAAGAGTCATTCAACGGCCGCTCTGACTGACCTGAACCGTCGCCACACATGATGGTGGGACTGGGACGACAAGACCTACAGGGAGGAGCCACGACTACCGTAAGCCTTGCAGCCTGAGATAGGGCAATACTCGAGTAACTTCTCTCATGATTTCGGTCTACTCTATCGAATACGTCCGAAGAACAGACATAGTGTCCTCGGCCACCAGCATATCATCAGCAGACTCAACATGGCAGCGCAGCTCATTTTTAACGGCGAGATTCTCACGAGTTTACGGGAGGTACATTGTCGATTGAGTGATATTCATCAGTCTTTGAAATAGCTAGTACGGATTGAGATAGCGCATACCCACGGCAACATAGCGAACAACGCCTACAACTTTCGATCTGATGGGGAAATGTGTCACACGACTTATGCACAGTCGCAAGAGAGATAGGGATCTGTGCCGAGCCAGAGTCGACGGGCGAGGTTTTTATCTACCTGCCAAGCTTGTCCGGAATCGCAAGAAGCCGAAAACTTGCGCGGTGCCAGGGAACGACAGCGCAACGCACTCTGGGCCTTGGCTAAGGACCTCGCGCGCAAGTCTGTTCGCCACCTTAAGGTCACCGACCTACCCCTTGAGGCACTGCATGGGATATTCGCCAGCTTTAAAGCGCCAGATCCTACGGTCGACCGAGACCTATTTGACGCGTAAACACTACGGCGAAATTTTGACGATGATATTACAATAAGCTAGCAGCGTACACGGGACGTCTCGAACTGCCGTCTTACCTATCGTCTTTTTCATGACCACGCTTCGCGTTATCTTTTACCATGGCTTAAAGTCTCCCTTAATGAAGCATCTCTACACCGGGCTATCGAGATTTCAAGTCGTCCGTAAATCGCCGCTGGTATCCGTAGAGTCGAGGTCTAACTTGCGTACTATTACCCTGCTCTCGCTAGAAATATCTAGGAGTGGGCATCGGCCCGGGAACGTAGCCTCGATATGTTTGCCTGGATTTGCGGTCATTATCATTGCGCTGACCAGAACTAACCCTGGCGAGATCGGAGCAAGTTACCGACGGAGTGGCATAACTATGTCGACGGCACTACGAACTCGGCGTATCCTGAGTTCGGTTAAGTCCTTGTTAGAGGTTATAAAGAGTATTAGCGTAGGTCCGTCGAACAATCATACCTTCTTGCTAATGGCAACTTCGTTCGCCGTCTCGCTATTGTCTTAGCCAAGTTGCCCCGCTCCGGTGGACTGGAGTTTATAGATTCCTCGGAGTATGAAGATAACGTTACGCTACTTAAGTACTAACAATTTTTACGGGTGCTAGATAGTACGACGGAGCTCGATAGGTACCTGTGTCGACTAGACCCTTGGTGGATGCGAGAAATCACGACCGTGGGCGTAGAGGTGAGCCCGGCGAGGGTAATGGTCGAGCTACCTATCGCAATGAAAAGGGCTGGAGCACCCCTCGAAGATATCTGGGTTAGGTGTTTCCCGCGGCAGGCCTTTTACGTTTTATATCCCCGATAGGAACATACGGATCTTACGGCATGGCATGAGCTTGAGGACGCCTGCTAGAATCTTAGATCATTTCGATGTCTACTCTGCGAACCTGATTATCCGCCGACGTGGCCGATTCATCTTCGTGACAGAACTTTCATCGATGGTTTCCTAGCTGCTATGTTGTCGGGTCCTAAACTGTAAGTTGTGGAACTGTAGCTGGATAGCCTATGTACTGGCGATGAAGACGGATTTATGAGGGACCGACTGTACGAAATCGGAGGCGCAATCGCGCTAGCTCGGTGGATAAACTTGCGAATCTTGAACCTGTTATAAGTCTCTTTTTACCTATACGAGCTCGAGAAGGCTTGTAGTGGTCTTGGACGTGGGATGCTAGACTAGCTACGAATGTCGGACGTTTAGCTTAAGAGCGGGTGCTGGAAGGTCGTTCTAGATAGCTTCCGAGACCGAGTGAGGGCACTAGGGCCTGAAACTCTTGATTTGCCCGTGTCTATGGTCTAGCTGGAAGGGCACGGTCTCCAGGAGTGGTACGACGCGCACCGAAATGATCATTTCGATATAGACGACGACCTACGCATTTTCATGCCAGAAGAGCTGTCAAGACGGATGGAGTTGTACGTTGCTGGCATAACGGATGAGAACCCGCTCGTAGATGGCAATTGATATACACGCCGAACCACTTTACTACGGACGCCGTCTTATAGACGCCGTGTGGCTGAAGCGCCAAATCGGGCAATCGCACATTCCATCCGGCACTCAAGCCACACCCACAATTTTCCCTCGCGTAAGCGAGAGTGTGTGTACCTGCATCTATAAGACGGGTATGGTCTGTGAAGAAATACGGTTCGATCGACCCAAGTTGACTTGCCAAGCGGAAAAGCCATGCCCTATCGCAAATACGGTACGTTATCGTCAACTTTACATACTATGGCTGCACATGGATACAATCCTTGTGGTTCTCTTCGTCAATAGAACCCGTCAGAACTGGTGTCACTGAAATGGCGGACTGTTTACGGGAGCTTCGCCGTCTGCGCTTCAGCCGAGCCTCCCGCTTCTCTTCATCAGAGGCAACCTCCCATTCTGACCGCTGCCTTCGTAGGCTGGGTTGCCTCCTGCAGCCAGATTGTCTAACACCAGTTTGCTTACCCGACCTAAGTGGAGCGGACCTGTGAGTGGGCTTCCTGACTGTCCCAGTTTTTCCCACTGCTGTTCGAGCACGGGTCGATAGCTGGACGTTCATACTCTCGGGGATAGGCTATGCCGCATTCTTTGGACGGCCGCGGAGAGATGCTGCGATCTTAGGATCAAGAATTCGGCCGTAGGGATTATGCGAGGTTAGCTCCCTGAGATGCCACCGAGGGTAAACGTCCCATTTCGTCAACGGCGTGCCCGCTTCTAATTTATTATAGATTGTATGGCGGCACGGAATCCCCAGCTACCACGAGACGGAATAATCCTCGTTGCAATCCCCGATCGGCTCTGGCTAAGGGTGCGATCTACTTGGTATCGATCTTAACGCGCGCCGATGCTCTTTAGCAACAAGTTTAAGTCCTAGCTCAGACATCACCGACCGAAGCTCTCCTAGATACTCCGAGCCGACACTAGAGTATATATAGGAGGTCAAAACTTCGTCCTAGGAATAGTTATCGATGAAGTCGCGCTCTTGATCGCCTACTATAGCCTCGATCGCTTCTATAAGTAAGTATAAATCGCTTATCCTATTGAGTAGGTAGCTCTTAACATTATTATTGCTGGCCTCGGTGCTAGAGGTCACCCGAACCCCGAAATTGCGGTACTTTCTGATGAAGCATTATGCCCACTACGCTCGTATAGGTAAGTATGTCTTATAGAGATACATTAGGGTGGCCTGCTAGTCGTTAAACTTGTCGCATAAGCGCGCCTAGGCCTTTTCGTGCTCTTCTTTTATCTCTATAAAGGCTATAAACTTCTATAGTTTAAGGATACTATAGTAGTTATAAGGCATAGGAGCAGCGATATTAGTTTGCGACAGCGGGCTCTCCTATCTCTCTAGTGCGACAACAGCTTCTACATCCCTTAATAACAGCCTCGCGTTAGGGTTACTATCCCTATCGCTTTCCGTATCTTCGTCGCCGCTCTTCTATTTCCGTTTTGCATTAAGGAGAATGTTTACGTTAATATATTAAACATATATTTATTGCTAACTATTGGGGTACTAGCTTTCTAGTGCTGCCTTTATCTACTAGTTATAGTTGGTAATAATAACATTAGGTAGAGGGATCTTATAGCCGTCATTTAGTTTTCTAATCGCTTCCGCGAGGAATTAAAACCCTTTATGCCTCTCGTTATCGATTAGACTAAACGCGGCATTATATATAGATTTTAAGTAAGTCTGCCCTATAACCTAAAAGAGAGGTAGCTTAAAGCGGTTTATATTATACGTATTATCGAAGCTTATTATTTCCGGGAAGCGCTTTTATATCTATAGATAATATAGGAAAGTCTATACCAGGCCAATAAGGCGATTAGGCTCTATTGCCGATTACTTAACGGTATATAGGACGCCTCTTTTATTAAATAGCTTAATTAAGATAGCTATCAGACTTAATCCGCCGAGCTTTTTGCGTTATAATAATGCTCTAGCGTTATATATATCCTATCTCATAAAATATATTCTATAATACTTTTCGTAAATAATACTATAGATATCGCGTGCCTTTATACCGACCTAGCGGCTTATCGCTTTAATTATTACCTTAATAGGGCTAGTAAGTCTCTGGTATATAAAGTATGCTAAGAGACTTATACTACGGTCGTAGTTATATCGACTATACTAAGGGTCGGCAAACGGCCGTAAGGTCTACGTATAGTCGTTCTATTCTAGGGCCTCTATAATAAGTTTCTATTTATACCTGCACTTATGCAAACGCTTTTAGTAAAGACCTATGCCTTTTAACGGGCGAGGCTCGCCGTATCTATCGCATTAAAACACGTATCTAGTCTTCCGCGCTTAACTGCCGGAACCGTTATGCCTTATAACGCTAAATCCGTTTTCTTCCGCGAACTCGTTTACGCAGGATTAAAGGGCGTCGACAGATAGTGCAGCAGGGCCAGGGATTAGCGGGTTAGGGATAGGTATCGGAGCAGCTTGACTGCTAGACCCTATATCGGACAGACCGTTCCATTCCTCGTATTCCTCTTGTTGCCAGGTTGGTGGCGACGACGGCGATAAGGGCGATGATGGGGTTCCGGCGCTGCCTGGCCCCGAAGAAGACAGCGGGCAATGCTAAGCCAATTCGCAAGCTAATACGCCGTCGAACCTAGCTTGCTCTTAGGCGAAATCCAGGGCGGACCGGAAACGGACCGTGCTTCCTATAGGCTCCTCATTATGTAAATCCCTTCGCTCTCGCAATCGCTATCTCTCTAGCTTATCGGGTTCTAGAACTGCAATAGTAAATAGCCACCGTGCGCTATGGCCGCGGAAGCTATCGTCTAGGAAGATCCGCGATTGCCGCAATTCCCAGTAGGGTTCATCAACTCTACGATAGCCATGTGGCTTAGGAAGGCTGCTGAAGTAACTCTCTAGCTATATCGCGAACAGGTTATATAATGCATTGTCGTCACCATGGCCGTAGTGAAGCTCGGGGTCAAACACCGTGCTGGGGTGGAGCGCAGTAATGGTCATGTCGCTCAGGGTATATAAGTAGTGCCGAGTAGGAAACTCTACTTGACCAGGGCTTGTTCGTGCTGAGGATAGAATGTGAAGGCTACGATGTAGGTAGTGATGGCTACGGAATATACAAATTGTCGACAATAGCGATGGCTGGGGGCAGGGACTGGAACGGAAACTAGCCGTCCGGTGTAAGTGCCCAGGCGCATGGCATGGAATGTGCGATTGCCCGATTTGGCGCTTCAGCCACACGGCGTCTATAAGACGGCGTCCGTAGTAAAGTAGTTCGGCGTATATATCAATTGCCCCGCTTATACCTACTCAATAGGAAAATTCCAAGGTTACTTAATCGATATATTAAGCGAAAGGTGTCGCTATTCGTTGGACCAATGCTTTCCCTTGCGAGAAATATTGCCTTGTTAATATGCTCCTCGTTTCCAGATTGTGTAAAGTTACCATATGCATTAATGGCAAGGGCGGAAAAATATTCTCGGACAACATCGTCATTCAGCTGTAGCTGCTGCGCAAGTTGGTATATTTCCATCGTATTCAACCTCGAGGGCGATTCTCCATGTGACGTCCCCGACATGTTTGACCGTTTCCTGGTGGCCAAATCTTACACCGAACGCCGACACGAGCCAAACGCGGACGAAGAGAACAACCTGGCGAACCCCATCGCCTGTATCCTCCTCACAAAGACCACGGTCAGAAGCGGAAAGTGGGTGAAGTGGGATCTCATCAGATCTAATCCAGGCAGCATGCTATTTGTATCTCGCTACGGAGCAGACTTGGCCATGCAGGAGCTCTTGCAATGGCATGATTTGATCCGTGACGCTGTGCCTCCATTCATGGCTACGGAGAATCCTGCAGGCGCAAACGCTGTGCAAAGGTTGAGGACAGCAATTCAGAAGCTGGCTTTTGCGAGGGGCATAGCTACTCCTAAACCCATATTGTAGAGGTAGCACAAGACATTCCCAGCTCTTCGATACAGCGGAAAATATCGTCGTATCACGTCTGTAATCTATCATCTCCCACCGCTTAGAGTGCCTACCGGGAGTGTTACCTGCGGCGTCTCTAGCGTTTAACTATCACACGATATATAAAATTATCTAGGGCTATAGTTCTCTTTATACCCTATTTTTTTTTAATTCTTCTCTTTATTATATAATATAAGTAGATAGATAATATAGAGATTATAAATTAGAGAAAGAAGAAATTAGTAGTTAAAGAGAATAAGGCTAAAAGGAAGGTAGGGAACCTTTATAATAGTATAGTAGATCGAGATAGATTAACCCTATTCCTTTTTATATTATCTAGTAATACTACTATGCTCTTCTCTATAGGTATAATCTATAGGACACTCGAATTAGACTTAATTATCCTGTATTTACAACAGGAAAGGAAGGAAGGAGTGAGATATACATCTCTACTAAAAAGATAACTATAGTGCTAATCAGTATTATTCGTTTTATACGAATCTCGTTTTGCGCGAACACTCAAATGGTCTAGACCCTGGTCATGTCACGGCGCTCGCGACGACTCTGCTAAACGGTACTGGCAGGCTAGAGCTGGGGTGTCTCTTTTTCCTGCAAAAAGGCCTGGTGCCTAGCGGCTAGGTTTGTGACGCCTCTCCACGGGCACAGACCAGTGTGTATTGCTATCAAAGTATTATCTCTTATTTCTCTAACTTAAAAACTACCACTGTAAAATAACATGAGCAGAATAGCTTAGATAGCCAATACCTAACCCTTCAACCCTACTAACCTTACTAACCCAACGGTACACTTCTGTCTGTCTGATGGGAGCTTATGGCATTGAGGCCAGCAATACGTCCAAAGACGAGTGCCCGCATAACGGCCACTGCATTTGGAGCCTTCTCGTAGAAATGGCCAGTAATCTCACCTGCAGCATATAGATTAGGAATGATGCCTCTCTGGCCAAGAACGCGCGCTTCCACATCAGTCGCAATGCCGCCGAAAGTGTAGACAATGGCCGCGGCTAAGGGGAATGCGGTATACGGCGGAGCGTCGAGCGGCCTAGCCCAGTTCGATTTCGATGGTTGCAAACCTGAGGTAGTGGCGAGATTATCAAGCCGGCCCGCCGTAAAGCCAGACATGTTTGCGTTACAGGCTGCATTGTAGTTTAAGATTGTGTTCAGAAGCGCTTGTTCCGGCATCCCCATCTGTGCCGCCAGACCAGAAATCGTGTCCGCTGTCACCGGCGGCATATCGGAGCGGATAGCTGCCTCATGGTCCTCCAATTGAAAAAATCTGGAATCACAAATTGCCCAGGCTAAGCGGCCCGGTGTGTCAAAATGTATGGTTCTGGAAAGATGCTCCCACGTGTCATGCACGAGTCCAGCACCTTCATCTGCGAACCGCTTTCCGTCCTGATTCACCACAACCCCGTACGGGTAATTGAGGACCAGTGGCGCTGGCTGACTGCTCCGTGGGTCGATTACTTCGCTGTGCATTCCGTTCCAATCGCCAGAGGCCTTGGCTCCGTTGGCCAGCGCCATCTGGATGCCGTCGCCGGCGTTCCAGGCCGTCCCAGGTGATATCGGTCTCAACGTCTCCGCACCAGGACCAAGATGAGTACGCAGCATGTCTGGACTGCCTTGAAACCCACCACTGGCGAGCACAACAGATCGGGCAATGATTCGTCGCCCATCAGCTGCCTCAACTATGGCCTGTCCTCGGCCAAGATGAAGTCGCTGGGCACGGCAATTATACACCAGTTGGACACCCTTCGATTTGGCTGATTGCTTGAGGGCTTCGACAATGGCAGCACCTTTGCCAATAGGCTGGATCCTGTTAGGCCAAGATTTCAAGAAATAGTCCATGGCGTGAAACTGCACCCCCTGCTTTTCGAGCCATTGGAGGGCTTCAGGGGCCTGGCTAGCCAGCCTTTCGAAATACGCGCGGTCGCCACCACTTCCGCTTGCAGCCACCATGTCGTCCACGAAGCCTGGTAATACCTCATTGACAGATGGCATTCGCATGTTGGCAGGGCTCCAGCGTGAGTTTCCACCGCTCGCATGCTCTGGTGCATGCTCTAGCACGGCTATCTGCGCCGAGGGCGAGAGTTCTGCAGCTGATACTGCAGCGGCGAGGCCGGCAATGCCATGACCAACCACGACAAGGTCGTACATGCTGATATACTTGAGTCTGAAAATCTTAGAGGACTAGGCTTCGGGGTGTTGGTGGTTTATGTCTCTTGGAACACTTCTTGGTCGCGGTATTATTAGAAAATTGAGGCTATTACATACAAGCTTCAGATGCTCGCGGACTCCTGCAGGGGTGAGTGCGCGTGACCACATTGCGATGACTCGATCTTCCTGAAGTAGAGTAGCCGCTGCAGCAAAAAGAGATGCGTCAGAAATTATTGTGGAGCGGACGGTCCTTTTGTAGCGGTGTGTTTTGATTATACCACAGATGGCGTAACGTGATTGATAAGCGAATGTCCCAGACAAGCCAATGTCCCACGAATCGACTCTTCCTCGTTACTAATGCCAGCGGATTTTCCACAATCAAGACAATGCAACCGGGTTTGCAGTGCAGGCAAGTTGAGTTATTGCACCCCACTGTCGTACGGGGCAGTGCTAGCTTAGGTGCATCCAATCAAAATTCCCAATCTGAGTCGCGTACCGCGTTATTTTAGACCCCGTATGAATATGTTTAACGCTAAACAGGTCGTGAACACCTACTACATCGTCCGCAACAATAGATCCATTCATCCATCTCCTAAGGTTCCCCGTCGTCACCTGCAAAACGTGCGGCTATGCCTGCGTCGCAAATAAAGTCACTAGCCACCTGCTAGCGCGGCACCGGAACCTGCCAGCGACGGAACGGCGCGCTATGGAGCACATCGTCAAGAGCATTCCCGACATTATCCACCGACGGGACGAACTAGGCAGACTGCATACAGCCGATCCCTCATCTTGCCCCACCAAAGACCGATGGGCTACGGTATCGAAAATGCCCGTACGTTTCGCGCCATCTGCAAAAGATCCAGGCGCACTGTCGCTCGGTGCACGACTAGAAAAACCCACGGAATAGGGGGAGGCCAGCTCGCAACGAAGATGCACAGCTGGACAAACCATAGAAAGAGGGTGTCGGATATCAACGCTTCTTCGTATCCGGATCAGGGAGTAGCTGGTTTAAAGTAGGACGAACGGTAGCGCACCAAGCCAATAGCGCAGCAATCTCTCGATCGTCCTTATCCGGGATTGCGGTCTTAAGTGCTATACTTACCCCTAACGTTGTTGGCCATTTAAAGACCGTGCTTCAGCGCAAGCAGCGTTACAATACCGTAGAGAAGCAGCCTCGTATAGCAGCGAAAGCACTTAGCAACGATTCATTTACTAACGTAAGCCTTTAGCTAGACTATACGCAATAGCATGCCATATTTCGTAGCTACCGCCGGGATATCTTACGGGCCCTAAGCCGCCTACCCTATCCACCTTCTCACACGGCGGCATACGTCTTAGGACAGGGGCCGTCTAAAGGCAGCCCGGACATAGTAAGTTCGCTCAGAGATAAGCAAAAGATCTCGTGCATTCTAAGAGCGTTTGATCATGTCATGACGCGATATAAGAATACGGTCCGGTGCATAAGTCGCAGCCTGTTACGCTAGCTGCTGAGTTCCAGGCTCAATACATACAGCAGGAACCAGTTTGTTCTCTTAGCAGAAAACAGCAGCCAGCGACGCTACCGAGGAATATGGAAACGGTTCTTAGCCTTCGCACTCAAAGCATTCAGAATAGACGCCAGAATTCGAAGGCAGGAAGTTAGCATTAACATCAACGAAACGCTCATGAGCCACTTTCAGCATATATAGGATCATCCGGTTTAGAACGCTATCGACAGTTCTACGGCCGTCTGGCCGGCGGAGTTACTTAAAGACGACAGTAAGTAGGGCCGCAGGCCGAGCACTACACTACTACTAGAGGGCCGATAAGGAGACCGCTTAGAATATAACGAGCCTCTCGAGGAAAACTCGAGCGACAGTAGTTCTAAGTCCGAAGAGGAGGCTATTAACTTCGAGGAAGAAGACTTTAATATCCTAGAGGATAACGGTTCGAACGAGCAGCCTAACGATCTTAATACTAGCCCTAGGACTACTACGCGATCGAGCCTTTATGCTTAGGCTCCGATATCGAAAACGGTCATCGAGATAACTAAGGACTTCTTAGAATCCCTTTTTTAGATAAACCTACGCTTCTATACTAAGCTACTAATAGTAAGACGAGTTAGATTGACGTTAATTCTCTGTTTTAGCGATATCCTAGGCTTTTCTCGCGACTACTACTAGTTCCTCCTAGCCCAATAATATTCTCCCTAACTATTACCGCTTATCTACATATAGAACTTACTATTTTTAGAGTATGCGTTACTATTATACTATTATAGTACCCTGGACATCTTATAACGGCCCTATATAGGACAGTTAGACCGGTTAAACTGTATTTAGGAGAGGTATATAATCTTAAGAGCGTAATTATCCTTAGCGGAACTAGTTAGCCTCTATAATATTAGCTGCAAACTTATACGAACGGAACTATTAGTATTTCTTTTATATTAGAGCGATAATAGCGACACGGTTTACTACAGTAAGAAATTCCGCCTTAAGATAGATGACTTTCCTAAGCTCGCTAAATATTTTATTAGTAATATTAAACGCTTTATTACTAAGCTAATATTTAGTATAAACCTTAATATTAACCTTATTAAGATAAAAGACAACTTAGTAAATATGGATTATAGCTACTTATTTATCTAGCATCCCTTAAATAGCCTCGAAAAGAGTTATAAGGAATTGCTAGTAAGAATATATACTATGCGGACCGCGGGCCTAACGAGACTCGGCTAATAGCGATAGTTTATTATTACGTCTTACCTAAAAGACACTTCCTTACTCAAAGAGATAATAATAAGGTAAAGTATACTCTTTAGCTTTAGGGCTAGCCTTTAAACCTAGGTTTAAGCGGGGAAGCTATAGTTAAATAAGCTATTATAAGTCGGCACCTAAAAAAATAGCCTTATAATATACCCTAAGTTTAAACGGGTCGTGCCGCTATTTATATAATTTAGTATACTTAGCCTATTCTATTTTAGCCCGCTCCTTTTATACCTTAAGTTTAAATAGCTTATATTATACCTTAGGTTTAACTAAAGGTATAATTTATTGCCTTTTACTTTAACTAGCCTGACCCTTAATCCGCGCCTCGTTTTATATTTAAGCGCGGCGACCGGGGGGGTCCTTTTACGTAATTTAGGCTATAGCCCGAGCGTCTCTTAGCTCGTTAGACGTTTAGAGCGTTAGATTAATGCGTCGCGTTACTATTAGGCGTCGCGGTCGTCCTACTGTCTGTTTTCGCGATCTCTTTTTCGGCGAAAAAGCATCCCCTTATTAGTTTTAGCCTCTACTATTAGCTACTATCTGTTTTGCTGTCTACCCCGTCCTTTTTCACCGAAAAAGGTCCTTTATCTAGCGCCTAGGATACGGGCCCTATTAGGGCCGACTGCCTTACTCGCGGCGGAATAGTCCGATAGGTCTAGGCGGCTTATACTTAAGACGCGAGATAGGAGTAAGCGTAAAAGAGGAAAAGTATTAGATAATTAGCTCTATAGGGATTATAGCTAGTATTATAGTAATTAATGAGAATTTTCTTATAAGCTAGAGCTCTATAAGAAGCTATATAGCTCTTATATAGCTCTTATATATAAATAAGAGCTTTACTGGTTTAAGTAATAATAGCTGCCTATTAGGTAGCTATAGCTATTATAGGCAGGCTAGATATATAATAAAAAGCTTATAACGGGCGGGCAAGAAAGAAGAACGCTATATATTATTACGATTTAATTTCTCTCTTTATATCTATTTTAATATTGCCTATAAACCTATCGTAATAGCCTCTTAGCGTTTCGGCTAAGTAAGACCTATTATCCCTATATTAAGTATGTTTACTTATGTTTTATAGCTTATAGTCTTAGCGGAAAGCCCTTTAGAAATTTATAATACCCTAAGAGTATACTATCGGTATTTCTGTCGAAAGGCACTAATTATTATATCTATAGACCTAGGGCTAGATCTTAGTTATTAGGAACCTTTCTATAGCCCCCTTAGCCCGACTGCTATACGCGCTAAAGTAAGGGAGTAATAATCCTGAGATATTAGCGAAAGGCGGAATAAATTATAGCCTTACGAACCTATATAGGATAATAAGTAGGATAGTAATAAATAGTAAATAAATAGTAATAGCTCGTATATTAGCGTATGGGCTCTATAGCCCTTAGGTTAGTAATTCCAGCGGCCCTTAAGATATTAAGTAGGGTTAAAAGGTTTCCTTACTTACGTTTTATTACTTTTAGTATTTTAGTAATATATATTATACCCCGGTATAATCCCGACTAGTCTAGGTTACTTAGCTTTCGAGTTATATAATATATAAACTATATATATACTCTTACTTAAGTACTCTCTATATTAAAGGAATGTTAGTCTCCTTAAGGTATAAGATATAATATATATTAAACTCGTTTATATAATAAAATAGGATTATATTAACGCTGGCTTCTTAAAGGTAAGATAGGCGCCTTTATAGTCGTCTATACTGCCGTTAAGTAGCTTTCTTTACGCTATAGCCTATACTGTAAACTCCCTTTTATATCGTAACTTTCGACGTAGGCAATATTATTAAGTCGAGATATTCTACCCCTTTCAGGATAATATTTTAATATACTTCTTAATTATATCGAGCTTATATATGCCTATATATAGCTAACGGATATTCCTTTTCTATTATATATACTATATCGTTATAATTCTAATTAGTAAGCGCTTTAACGTACTTATAAATATATAATATTATTAGCGCTTAGAGATCTTTATTATATAGAGTATACTTATTATATATACGGTTTAATACTGCCTGACTTATTTATATATCCTCTTTATATACTTATATTAATATAATAAATACTCTGACTATTTAGCGCTTCTTTAAGTTATTAAAATATCTACCCCTTTATTAAACCCTTACTATCCTTCTTTAAAATTATAAAGTATTTACTTATTTAATATATAATCCTATAGCTCTTATATCGTAATAGTAGTACTGGGTCTACTTACCTATTTTATTAAGAACCTTTATTCTTCTTCTATCTTACTTCGATAGGCGAGTAAGTAATCTATTAAAAAGGTATTAATATACCTCTTCTTTTTAATAGGCTTCTTAATATTGCCTATACCTTATTTTACTCGCTGCTTCCTAGCTCTGCCGCTCTTTTTAGCGTTTAGTATATAATATTAGCTTAGTATCTATTAACCTTTAGCCTTTTAAGGACGGAGACTATACCGGGCCCCTATATTATACTCGCTAAGCCGTTGTATATATATATCGATATTAGCTCTATTAGATATATTATCTAAGCGGGCATTAGCTATTTAAATAGTTAATATACTTAAATAGGGGGCGGAAGCGTTCTTTCTATACGCCCTTAGGTGTGACTACCCTATATCGCTTTAGAGAGCCGGACGGTTAGGATCTATTATCGCGATACTTATAGTAATTAACTCGTTTTATTAAGATCGCCTCTATTAATATACGAAGCGGCGCTATAAAGGCGACCCTTATTTATATTAAGGCTATTAATAAGGTAGCCTTAATAGGGAAGCATTACGTTAGAGTCTCGTAGTTATTAATAACGTAAAATAGCGGTCGCGAGGTATACTATATTAAGGCTTATAGCGCTAGTTATAATATCGCGTTTAGATATATTATAGTAGTCGATTTCTTAATGTAATACTGTCTCGCTTAATAGCGGATAAAGTAATAGCTATAGGGGCTTATATAATACTATATCGGTAAGACTGCTCGTAACGGGCGTAGTAAATATAATATTGCTACCCTCTATCGACTCAGAGGTATTAACCGGGACCCTATATCGTCTAACTAAACTTTCTAGCGACTTATTAACTCTTTCTCTATCGATAATCTATTTTATATATACTTACCTAAGGTAAATATACGCGCTTATTAGCTAGTAGAAAGGCCGCTATAATCGCTGAGATAGACGGCAGGGAGTCGTCTTTATTAGA